AAAAAAGAAAAAAGAAAATCACTCTCACTTTGAAGAAAGGCAAACCGCAGCCATCTTTTTTCACTTTTTTTTTTCCCAGTTCAATAGGGAAGATGTAAATAAATTGAGTTAAAGTCTTAGATTGATCAAAATCCAGTATCCCCGGGCAATTCCGTCCGCTTATTATTACTCACAAGTCTCTATAATTCGTGGAGGTGGAGGCAACGACTCGCTTCGCTCCCAAAAAAAAGGGAGCAAAGGCATTTGGGAGACGGAGGTTCCCGGACTCCGGAGGAGCACCCAATTTTTGCTCTCCCTAAGTTGAGGGAGAGCTTTTGGGGCTCTACTCCTATCCGGGAGTACTCACCTCGACCCCTTCTCCCGGGGCACAAGGTTCCAAGCCGCTGAACAGCTGATGTCCGCTGTTCAGGCTGGCTCTTACGCCTTCCCAAGCGGACGCTCCAAAAGAGCCACCATCGGCGCGCCGTCCCACCGGAAGTCTCCAATGTTAATAAGTTTTTATTAATAAAACATCTATTTGAGTTAATTATTTGTCTATATTTGAATATTTTCTTCTGGGTCCATTTTTTTTTACCTGTACCGAACGAATTCCTATGCACACTGCGCATATCTTGTTTGTAGTGCAAAAAACAGGAAAAAACAATACAATATTTAAAATAAATACTTTTAATTAACATAAGCTTATTAGTATTTCAATGGGAAGTATGGGCCTGCTTTTGGCTTATGATATATTCAGTGTCTGGTTCCATATTTGTCACTGCTAGTCATAACAAGTGATGCAAGTGAGCATCAGTTAGTCTGGATCTGATTGGAGATTTCAGATGTTTCATTCGGGAAAAAGTCTGTTCATAGACATTGGTTCTGCCCAAGATGGTTGCCATTTTAAATGCATGGTTCCTGAGGTTAAGATATGAGGAGAGGTTAAGATACGAGGAGAGAGGCATAGAAATTAGTAATGCTGCAACCACTATATCACCACTATATCACTATATCACCAATGTTCCCCCGGGGACCAAGTAAAAAGACACAGCAGGCCGCATCCAGCCCGTGGGCCGTAGTTTGAGGACCCCTGTTCTAGTGCAACACCATGATTATGTGAAAGATTTTTATTGTGAAAATATCAAACTGAATATATATTTTAAAAAATACTGTTATGACCTTTTGATTTTTAAGGATCATCATCTTCACTTGAAAAATGTTTTGATAAAGCTTTTCTTTGCCTACATACTGGAAGCCTAGAAAATTTTCACAAGTATAATGTAAAGATTAACAATGTCTCTGCTGAGAGCTAAGCATAGCCGTGTTTCTCTTGATTATGATTAATATCCCATCAGTGCTTTCAGAAACTGTATTTGAAATGGTAACTTTTCATACGTAAAAAAATTTAACATATTAACATTAGGGGAGCATGTAGTTTCTGTTAAAGCGATTTGTTTTTAATGAATTTCAGTAAGTTTGTACACGATTATATTTTCAAAAGCAGATAAAATTAACTAACTTTTCAAACAATATTACAATACATGTTATTTTGTAATGTGGTTTTACAGTTTTTTTCAGTTGTTTTCTGTTAAAATATAGCTCTTTATATAAAATATCTCAAATTATTCTGAAATTATGAAAATTAACTGGTGTCTGTGTGTACTTCTGGGCAACCATTCAGTCTTATTGCTGTTTTTAATATAGCATGCAATTCTGTTAGACATTGATTTGATACCTTTTTTTTGACAGACGTACAAATCCTTTTGGAGAGTCTGGTGGAACCAAATCAGAAACAGAAGGTAGAGAGCAAAGCTTTAAAGAAATGTAAAATATATCGTGTGGTATTGTATATTGATGAAGAGAACAGATTGATAATTTTAAATAATATTTTGATAATTTGGCTGGAAGCCTGAGCTGAATGAAATAATTAAAGAAGGTACACAGGAAAACGTTTCTGTATAATAAACAAGGGCACTTGTCCTATGGAATATGAATCTTAAATATCTTAGAGTTGCTTACTTCAGATTAAGAGGGAATAATTCTTCTCATCTGTGTTGGTGAGACCGTTAAAAGTTGTTGGCGCTGTTTGAAATTGTTCTGCCGGCAGCAAGATCTGACTGCTGGCCCAGCGACGGATTCTATTGCAAATAAGGGCTGTTTCCAAAGGAGGCAGAGGAGGAGAGGTCCCGGGGCTTATGGAGCGAAGGAACTGGATGAGGCTGTCGGCAGGCCCAGAGGATGGGAGAGAGGCTTTTGGAGGAGTTGGTGGTGGCAGCAGTGTGCTCCAGGGGTGAAAAGAAGCAAGGTCTCTTTAAGGAAAAGGTGGAAGAGACAGGATCAGAAAAAGAAAAGAAGGCAAGGTTGTCCTGCAGGAATACCAGCTAATTTTAGAGCTAATCCACGTGGAGCTCTGTTTCCATCTGTCCTGTTTGCCATCGTTCGCTCCCTAGATACTAAAATGGATGATCTGAAACTTGAGCTGGCCATGAACAAGGAGTGTATATCAGAGGTGGTGACCCTTTGAGAGCAGTATGCAACGAAATTTCATTTTGATGTATGCCGATTGGTGTACATTCAAAGTGACAATAAAGTTGTTGTTGTTATTCTATTTAAATTACCTCTAATGATAGTTCAAAAATTTCTTTCTATATGGATTTACATTAATAAATTGTTGCTATATCGAACAAATTCATTCAGTTTTAACTACAGCATTGGGTAGGTTTTATAGAATTAAAATAGATATCTGTTTGATTCCTAGTTTCTCCTGTCTCAGAGCTGTATTTGAAGTAATGCTAAAATGCAAGAAAATACTTCAATGAAAGAACTTTGCAGTAATCTTAACTTACATTATAGAGTAAGCTTAAGAAGAAATGGAAGAAGAACTATCAAGTTTGTATGCTTGTTTAATGTAAAAGTCCCTTAAATTATATTATAAAATCATACATTATCCTTCCCTCACTATCTTGGTCAAACCACCATCTCACAACAATGCTTCCAGTTTAGTTAACTTTAATGTTGATAGAACAAAACAATTCTTCTCAGTCAAAATTAAGGGTAACTAAATGTGATAGAACTAGCAGAGCTTATATATACATTACATTTTTTAAGAAATAAATTGTTAAAGACTTTAGGAAGCGTGTCTTCTGTGTCATAGCCCCCACTCTCTTTGCTCCAGAGATATGGATGTTGCCCTCTTTTCTGTAGTTTGTAAAGCCCTTAAAACCTGACTTTAGTCCCAGGCCTGAGGTTAATGTGTTTGGGGGTGTGTACAGGTATGTAGGTCTTGGCGTATTCGGGTCTTTTCCCATGTAAGATCTTACATGGGAAAAGACCCGAATATGCCAAGACCTACATATATATATATACATATACATATAAGGCCAAAGCTAAAGCTTTACTCAAACTATACATTTATTATGCTCTTGCTCTAGATTCTATCCTTCATCAGTTATTTATTATAAGATTCCTTGGATCTATGGAAGTGAAATCAGATGAAAGTCCTGATGTTGTTTATGAAACAATGCGTCAAATATTAGCAGCTCGAGCTATACATAACATTTTCAGAATGACAGAATCACATTTGTTAGTTACGTGCGATTGTTTAAAGTAAGTATATTCTTTTTCTAAAGCAAACGATTGTCAAAAAGTTAATACATTTTGGTCTTTTTTAAATATCCATACATTTCTGAAATTATCCTTTCTAGGTTAATTGATCCACAAACACAAGTTACAAGACTCCGGGTAAGTTGTTAAAATAAAAGTACTTAACCATCAGAAACCCAGTTACTGTTCAGTTTCATCCAAGTTTATTTTCTATTTATTGTTCTTGACAGAAAATTATAAGTTATCCAGCTCCCCAAACAGTATTTCAGTTATCCTGAAACTACACATTATGAAAGTGGGTGGTCTAGCCATACGCTTCTACTTGTAAATTAGAAAAAATATGTAAGGAATTCCTGCTAATAGTTATAAAAGCCTAACTTAATTTGTAAGCTTTTGAGAATGCACTAGCATAAGAGTTGATGGAGCATAGTGAGTAGAAAGTCTGTGCTGAGAAGTCAGTAGGGCGAGTTAGAATGACCTTATTCTGAAACAAAAATATAAATTATTTTGGCTTTTACTTTAATAATCCAAAAGTATCTTTCTGTAATTTCATTTACTGCTGTTCTTCAATGACAATTCTTTTCCTCCCTGGACAGTTTCCTTTGCCAAATATAGTTCTGTATGCCACACACCAGGAGAACAAGCGTCTTTTTGGATTTGTGCTTCATACTTCAACAGGAAGAGCAGATGGTAGACCAACTTCAGTTTGCTACATATTTGAATCAAATAATGAAGGGGAAAAGGTACATGCATCATGCTTCAGTTAATATTCTTGTATTTTAAATTATCCCAAAGCTGTAAAAACTAAGGATATGAAAATCCTTTGAGGAGAACACACCTCCCCCAAGCAGGTGATTTTATATAAACTTGCAGGTGGAGTCAGCAGGAAGCAATTTGCAAAGAACCTCTGGAGTTCTTGGTGTTCTCTACTTATTTGCTTGCAGATATTTCATTACCCAACTAGGTAACATCATTAGTGTCAGTTACCTAGTTGGGTAATAAAATGTCTTCTCACAACCAGGGAGCATCAAGAACTCTCCAGTTCTTTTGACCAATTTGTTCATCCTTTGTAATTATGTACAGTTAAACCTTTAGTTTAGCAGACTTGAGATTCCACACACCAAATTTCCCTGGTTCACCGTTCACCTTTATTGCCTGTGGAAGTTCCTCTGGCTCCATGATCAGCACAGGCTCTGATGAGACTCGGCCTCTGGTGACTCTCGGCCACAGCTTGTCTTCAGTGTGCAGATACACTGCACCTGTAATGATCAGAATCACCTTTAATGGCAGTTCTGACGTTTGAAAATTTTATTTGCTGTTTCACGGATCTTTGATTCCTTCCCCCAAGTAGTTAAATTGAGGATTTACTTTCCTTGAACATGAACAATTTTTTTTAGTGATTATAATAGTACCTATTTGTTTCTTCATTTAGATTTGTGATTCCGTGGGACTTGCAAAACAGATTGCATTACATGCTGAATTGGTAAGAATTTAATTTGTTATAAAATGTAGAGGTAGTTTATATATATATATCAAATGAGTATATAGTTCAATATCGCTTGGAGTATCTCCTGATATCTGCCCAAATTGATGAAATTTCAGTGTCCAACCTCAAATCGAGTTCAGCTTTGGAATAACAAAAAAAAAACTGTTTTGGTTTTTAGAGTCATTATTTAATTATTGTTGATGCCTCACCATCTCTCTCTCTCAAAAAAAAGGGTGTGATGATATTAAGTACTTGGAAATGTTGCTACTCTCTCTGTTGACAATCAATGAAATGAAAAAACTAAGCACTCCACTGCAAAACTCTCTCACCCAATAACTATTTTCACAAATAAATTATCAACCAGTGCCTGGCAAGTCACAAGCAATTCCAGTCCAGGGGTGCCAAAGAGATGTTGATAAGCAAATAATTTGGCTAAGCTTTCTGCAAGTAAAGGCAAAACCAGAGAGCAGGCAAATCTCCTGGACTCTTAAAACAAGATCAAAAGAAAAGGTCTTTTTTACCCTTATATATTTATCTGTCTTGACCTTAAGAATATACAGGCAGTCCTTGACTTAAAGCAGTTCATTTAGTGACTGTTCGAAGTTACAATCGCACTGAAAAAAGTGACTTATGACCATTTTTTACTTGACTGTTACAGCATCCCCACGATCACGTAATCAAATTTCAGACGCTTGGCAACTGGTTAATATTTATGATGGTTGCAGTGTCCTGGGGTCATGTGATCACCATTTATAACCTCCTGACAAGCACAGTCAATAGGAAAGCCACATTCCCTTAACAATAGAAATTTTGGGCTCAATTGTGAAAGTCAAGGACTATCTGTAGTATATCTATATCTTCTATTTTTCTTAATCCTTAAAAGAATGTTGCTTTATTGTTCAAATCAGGAGTTAATATCTCTTGGAAGTATTGCTCCTTTTTTGTATGTGGCTCAACAAATCTATATGTGGCAAATGTGTATTTTTTTTCTTCCCAGTTTCTTGTGGATGCTTGTTATTTTTATACGTACTTTTCAAAACATGCAAAACATGTATAAATAAAGTGCAATGTTAAATCAGAAGGATAAGTAGCTGTAATTCTGATTCTTGAAGTGATCATTGTGCTTTCCTGTGAGTTCTGGACCCATCTTCAACATTCTTTAGTTGGATTTAATGAGAAAAGATCTTTTTCCTATCCTAGTATACCTCTTAAGAAAGTGCCTTTGCATTTGTTCATTTCTTGAGCAGATACAGGTGGGTGCAAATCAGATATAATTGAGAAGCCGAATCATATAGTGAAGGAGGCTGTATTTTGTGAATACACAAATTACTATTTGGAGAAACAATTATGTAAGCATCCTGGTCTTTTAATCTTAAATTACTGTGTACTTCATTTTTCTATTGCATAACTGATGTGATATATTGATTGATATGATGTGAAAGCCAAGATTTTTAACACTTTCCTTTGAAAAGCTGTAAGAGCATTTGGTTATATTTTTTCAGGCAGTTTTTCAGGCAAAACAAAGTAGTAATCCATTCTGTGCAAATAATGTTACATTTTGGTATTTGGCATTTTCTTTTTAAAAAATTTCAGGATCGAAGATCATCAGAAAAGCAGAAAGAAATAGAAAGAGAAAAGGAAAAACAGCAAAAAGAGCTCAATAAACAGAAACAAATTGAAAAGGTATGGATTTAATCAAGGTTTAACTTGGATTTTTGAACTTTCAAAATAACCATTTTATTTAAATTTAATAAACATGAAAAATCACTCCTTCTCACAAAACTGATATTGACTGGTTTTAGATTAAAGCAGATGTGTTCATATGATAACATTGGATGTAGTACAACATTACTAGTTGCTAGAACCTGACAAGCAATGGCCTACTTTGTGTGGCCAGGAGACTTGTGACTCCCTGTGGTTGGAAAGACGATACTGCACCAAAACAATCATTTTAGCATGAATCATATTGTTCACAGGATTTTATTCTTAAACATTGCTGAATGATTGAAGTTCTCTATAGCCCTATATAAAGCTTTGTGTTCAGGTTGATGAATCTTGATAATTGATTTTTAATGCAGGTAGTCATTGCTTACCATGTCTTGTTCAACAACCATTCAAAGTTAATGACAGTGCTGTCCGTCAGTCACACAATCACCATTATAGTCAGTATGTATTGCCCTATGCCTGACATGTTTTTTTTTAAATATTTTATTAGTTTTTAATAATAACAATCTCCAGTGCTTGGTGTACAGCGTGTTGTCTTGGTTTATATATTTGAGAAAAGAAAAAAAGGCAATATTAATTAACAGTCAATAATGATTAAATTTGATAATTCCATAATTATATTAATATTATATTTCTTTGATCTTCCCTTCTCCCATTTGTATTCTCCTTCTTCAACCTTAAATATAATTCTTAATATTTTCAATATATAAATGATTAAATACAGACATTTTTTCATATTTATACAGATAGTGATAACATTTATGTATAACATTTTTAATCACCTTATATTATTATTATAACCATCATCTCATTAGTTCACCATGCATCCTATTTTCGTGATTTTTGTTTAAGCTTAATTTTCCCTTTTATTCAATCCATTCTTATCAGTCATGATTTTCTCAATGTTAATCATCTAGATATCCAAATTTTTCCATTTAGGTACACCATCCCAATATTTTCATATTTCATGTATTATAAAAATACTGTGCTTCTTGTCTATCTTATAACATCTGGGTATAACATCCTTTCTGATCAGCTTAAATTTCACTTATATTTATAAAAGTTACATCATTCCAATATTTTTACATTTCATATATTGTAAAACATTCTATATTACTTAAATCTCTTATCCCTCTTGTTATAGGGCCCCTTTATGTTCAAAGTTCTCTATTCTTTTAACCATATTCAAACAAGTGTTTACTCATCTAATACTCCATCTGGTAGGGCAAGTCAAATCTCTTGAATCTATCTCTAGCCTTATTCTTTTGCCAAATAGCTTTCCAAGTTGATATATTCCACTTACCTGGCAGTTCCTGTGTTTTTGCAAGTATTGTTGGTAATGCAGAAGATAGAATAGGTAGGATATATACTTTCTGTCTCCCAAACTCTAATGATTCTCCTGGGAATTCTATAGTCCACTCCATTTTTATTGTTATATCAAAGTCTTGTAGATTTTTTCCTCTTTGTGTTGGATTGTAATTCTTTTCATTTGTAGCTTCGTCAATATGATCATGTTCTTCTAATTTGTGTTCTGTTATCTGATTTGTTTGTTCATTCACCGTCATTTTTTGGGTGTTTTTTTATTGTAGATTTAGATTAGAGATGTGCTTATTTATGTCGTCAAAGTTCTGGATTTCCTCGCATTTTAAATCTATTGTCATTTGTATCTGTCGTAACATTGTGTACATTTCCTCTTGGAAAGTATTTATCTTGCCTTGAAATATTGCTTCTGAGAGTCTTTGATGTTCCAGGCTAAGTACTTCAGGAGTGAATATTGAGTGTGGTGTCCTGTCATTTGTTGATAGGTGTACAATATCCATGTTGTCTCCCCCATTCAAATAGTTTTTAATCAATATTTTAGTTCAGGGGTTAATTACCAATCAGTCAAAATTGCAATTCAGTATGTTAAGCCACCTTAAGTCCTTCCTGTAGATTCTCCTCTAAAAGATTAGCCAAGAGCCAAAGTTTTTCTTTTTCTCTAAACAATTCTTAAATTTAATCAACAGTCCAGGTATTTTTCTTTCAGACACTTTTTAATCTTATGGCTGGGCCAGTTCTTTCTTTGTTCCCAGCTGTCTTCAAGTTTATTTAAAATTTAAGGGAACAGATTATTCTTTGTTTCTAGGCGTCCTGCCAGTTTCTGAATCATTATTGTTAGTGTTCTGTGCTCTAATTCTCCACTAGGTATCAGTAGTTATTCATTTTCCAGTTTTTTCAGACAAAAATTATTATTGTTATATATTTTTTATAATTTCATTAAAACCCTTTTAGGTGTAGTCTTAACAGGTTTTTTTTAGTTTCTAGATTTGTCCAGACTGTAGTATTTTAAATTTAATTTCAGTCTATTTCTTTCCCCCTTAGTATTAATTCACCGCTTCCGTCTATGAGGGAATGGGATATAGTCCCCTCCCTTCATTTTCAGAGGTTTTCTTGCTTTGAGGGGTCTTTCCCAAGGATTCAGTTAGTAGATAGAAGAGAGAAGATGGATACTCTCACCAGTTCCAAGCATGTAGTTCACCGATGTTCTTGTTCATGCTCTTGGACTTCGGCTGCAGATAGCTTGGGCTAGACCAGTGGTTCTCAACCTGTGGGTCGGGACCCCATTTGGGGTCGATCGACCATTTCATGGGGGTCGCCAAGCAAGGCTGTCTGCCATTTTTTTTGTCCGCCATTTTTTTGTCCGCCATTTTTTTCCCTTTTCCGGCGGGTGCCTTACCTCCCTTGGGCTGGGCCAGCTGGTGGTCGGCCTGCTCCGTCTCTGCCACTTGCCAGCTACGCCTCGGCCAGCGCAGGGGGCGGAACCATGCATGCGCGGCGCTCCCAGGCAGGGAAAGTCCTCGACTTACGACCGGTTGGGTAGTCTTCGACTTACGACTGGTTTAGTCCTCGACTTACGACCGGTTTAGTTACGACCGGTTTAGTCCTTGACTTACGACCGGTTTAGTCCTCGACTTACGACCAGTTGGGGTCGCGGCATTAAAAAGGTTGAGAACCACTGGGCTAGACGCTGATGCCACACTAGCCTTTCTCCTGTCATAGGGCTTCCCCTGGATCGAACGAAACAACCACTGTCGTTTCGTGATCAACGGAGGGCCCCTCCTTCATGGTCACATCTTCGGGGCAACTTCAGACCCATTTAGGGTCCCCCTTGTAGGAAGAAACTGGCCGCGGGAGTGGAGCTTCGCTATCCCGTGGCCATGCACTATGGCGCAAAACTGGAAGTCCTCCCTGTTCCTGACATGTTGTTTTTCTTTTTTTCCTGTGTTTGCAAAGTGGAGAAGAAAGAATTACAAGAGATTAACTAGGCTTACAATGGAGAATACACTGGGCTGTTTGCATAATACTCTCATAATTGCCAGCACCAGCTATTGCTTTCAATGTATTCCCAGTTGTGTGCCTATTCTCTTGCAATCCTTTCCTAGCCAATTGTGGTCACTAAACTTGTAGTGTGTGACTTACTGGCCATAGTGAATAGTTGCCAATAATGATATCTGTATTATTTACTATTTAAAATAATATTCACATTCCAGGATTTAGAAGAGCAAAGTCGATTAATTGCTGCTTCTAGTCGATCGATCCAGAGTGTTGGTGAAGGACAGTTTGTAGTTCTTAGCAATAGCCCATCAGAAGACAGTGATTTGGGTGAAGATGGAAAGAAGAAGCAAGAATCTGATGCATGAAGCAACTTCAGTGCAAGCCTTTAAACCTCTTGTCTGAAATGATAAATTGTATCATTTAAAATTTACAAAACAAATTATGTAAATTTGTTATATTAGATACAACTTGGTATTCTCACTCATTAAGGTTGATCTTTCTTAAATGGCTCAGTGTAAATATGGATTTTTGTTCTCCTCATAACCAAATGTAGTGAAATGTTCATGGCTGTAGCAGATTTGGATATTATAGAACTTATTCTATTTCAATTACCTAGCTGTTATGGTGACTTAGAAAGTAATTTGTGTGACTTAAAAAGTTGGTAGAAAATCTTTTATCTTCAGTTTCTTTTCTCTGTTTTCAGAGAAGTTGTTTTAGTCTCCTGCTGTAAAATAAAGAGTTTTGTTCTACTTTTAAATACTAACATTTGATCTGATAAAAAATTAGTCATTTTAGTCTTCAAAGTATCCTAAGCCTCTGAACAAAAAGCCAATTTTGATTCCTAAAAATGGCGGGGTCAATAATGGCAGCAGCCTCATAACTTTTAATTAATGCTTTTGCTAAGAAAGTGCTTGGTCTAGAGTATATGAGTTTTTTAAGCTGAAATATGAGAATATCATTTTTACTTGAAATTGTACTGGCTGGAAGTGATCTTGGCTTCTCCTCTGTATACATAAAGCACTTTGTGAAGGGTGGCAAAGACATTCAACCAAACACTGGAATGTACTTTGGAGTGTCAATGCACTGTGTAAATTTGTAACATTATACAAATTGACTTTTAACTGTCTAGATGAGAATAATGTGCATACACTTCTAACAGAATTGCCATGATTATTGGAATCAGGTTTGTAAGTGTCTTCTCATTAGCAAAAGTTTGAGATTATGTTGGTAATAGAATTAGTTGCATGGAAAAATTGTCAGATAATTTTTCTAACACCTGTTGTCATATTTAACCTAAATCCACATGTAATAGAAATACATACAAATTGCACATATTTGCTAAATCTGAGAAAAATCAGGCAGGTAATTGTAATTCTGTTTCAGCTTATTGATTTGTGACAAATATAATATACAAAGCATGCAGTGATTTTTCATTCCAGTACAAATGTACTGTAGATACAAAAGACTTTTAGGTTTGTCCTCTTTTATATTGCAATCTGCAAGCAGAAATTGTACAGAAATTGAAGGCTGATCAGAGACTGTGGAGGGAAAACTTTGAAGGCCAATTAACCTGGGCTGGAAAATCTTTTGAGATCAAGTAGGGATGTTTGTCCTTCGTTCCTAACTGCAAGGGCGTAAAGACACATGGAGTCCCAAGAAATAGAGGAGGTGTGATTGCTCATTGAGCCGTCTCCTTCTAGTTTTTGAGAACTTCCCTTAACGTTTCAACTTGAGCATAAAATTGTAGATAATGAAAATCATATATTCAATTTATTCTATTTTGTGCCACCTCACTCAAATTGACAATATCTGTTGTAATTGTTTATCCACAGTTTATAGCTATGTTAAGCCACATAATACTATAAAATCATACATTTAAATTTAAAGTAAATCACCAGTTCATTTTAACCGATATTTGTTATGCTTCAGACTAATCTTCAGCTGACCTCTATGTATATGTATGTATGTATGTGTGTATATATATATATATGTATATGTATGTATATATATGTGTATATATGTATGTGTATATATATGTATATGTATATATATATGTATACATGTGTATATTATATATATATATACACACATATATGTATGTGTGTGTCTGTGTATATGTGTTTATATATATATATGCACACATATATTCTCTGTAAAGATGTATTATAATGTGAATAATACCAAATGAACTTTATTATAATAAACAGTTCACAGGCTACTGCTCTCAAATGTACCCATCTGCAGTTACTTACAAAATCCAACTTGTGTGGATTGTGTTCAGTAGCTCTATTTCCCACCTTAGATTTTCTAGTGGGAATGTTCTGAGTAGGAAAAAAGTATGATTTGGCTGTCTGATTGGTTTATTGCTTGGAGCCAGCAGATAGACCTTGGAGTCAGCACTTCTGTTCTCATTCTTCTGAGGGTAAACTCCACTGACCTGAGTGGGACTTGCTTTTGCACACACAATTATACGGTTATGCAGTCAAGGACAAATGAACTTGGCAGTTGTGTACTGTTGCTGGACAAGTGTACCTTCTAAGTTGCCTTCTGTATTAAATCATATTTCTAAGGACAACATTCAAATTAAGATTACTATATTTCTTTGAATAAAATATTCATCTCTGATTAACTGTAGAAACACATTTTGCATGTATTGTAAGCCAGAGGCATTCAACTAATTTTAGAGGATTGATTTAAAAAAAAAAAAACAGGATTGCTATTTGTGATATCTCAACAAAATTATTATCCTGTTTTGTTTTCATCTGTAACTGAAATCACTTTCTTTCTACAGATACATGGGCTAATTAAGCACACTTCTGCTTGAACAAGACTTTTGCCTCCCCTGTAGCATAAGGTCCTTCACACTCCTGGGGAAAGCGAATTGCACGGAGGGACAGGCTTTCTAATTGATGCATGAACACTGTGAGGCAGGCAGAGATCATGACATAGTGTAGGACTAATCAACCATCAGGAGGTATCTGAGAAAACAATGTTCCATAACGAAATCTGTAAAGAAGCCAAGAGATTTGTACACTAAATTTGGGGTGGCTTTTATAATACAGTGAATTAATCAGAAAGTAATGATTTAGTCTTGTATCAGTGACTGTGATTTTTAAATTGAAAGTCTAATTAAAACTTAATTTCTCGTAATATTTGTGTTAATATTTAGTGATTGTCTGCTCGATATTGTCAATTGCAGAGTGAAATCTTGATACTAATAAAACAATTTGGGAAATATTTCAGTGAAATCCAGTCTATTTTAGAGGATGCTTTTCTACAATATGTAAATATTTTATCAGCATTTGTTCTTCAAAGCACATCATATATTGGACACTTTCAAAATACCTTTGTGAAATGCATTTTAAATCTGTCAGTAATGGAAGAATATCCATATAATAGAGATTCATTTATTGTACTTAATAAAGCAAAACTAACAGCCGGTGTCTTTATCTTTATTTGACTAGAATATAGAAGAATTCATGTTATATGAAAATTAAGTCTGTAAATATTGTGCGTTTAGAAGTTGCAGTTGCTTAGACAAAAGGTGAAGCAATACTGGTGACATAATTAAATATTTCAAAATACTTTGTTTTCTATGTCAAAATATAAACAAAGGAGATAGGGGTAGGCAATACACAAGAGTCAGACAAGGATATACAATTTTCATTATACCTGTAACATAAAGGTACATGGCAAGACCTCAATTATTTTGGAAATACTTGATTTACAATACTGCTTTTCAAAGAAAACATTTTGGGGTTATAAAACAAAGATTGCAATTTTGTTTTTGAAGTTGCAATAAATATACTTGTTGCAATAAAAAGGGCACATTATAGGATTTTAAATTGCATCTTAAAGATGTGGGCAGCAGAAACCTAGGCTATTACGAGATCTCTGAATAACACACAACAAAATCTAAGACTAAACTTCACTTGGAAAGCCAAATTTTAAAAGTTAAATATATATTTTTAAGAGATACACAAGAAGTCTTTGCTACAAGTACCAAACCAAGAGGCCTTCCATGAGTGTATGCATGACCTTTTTGTGTGTGCCAATTAACACTCCTTACACATGCAAATTGTTTTTCTTCTAAAGAGAACATTCAACAGTATTTGTAAAGAAATAAGACTAGGCACTAAAGTAATGCCCTGCTTGTACTTCTTGAAAATGTGTTTTGTGTTAAAGCAGCATGCTATTTCAGTACAGTGTGGGCACCTGTGAGCAAAGAGCACACTATTGTGTGCTGTTGCCAATTTAAAAAAAAATGTTTTCAACATTTACAGCTCAGATGGAAAAATAATTGCAATGGATTTTGTGAGCATATGGAGGATTGCAAGGAAAATCCCCTCCACTGATAGAAAATATACGGAACCCCTTTTAGCCACACCAATTGAGGAATTGGTGAATCAGAAGACGGCATCGCAGGGTTTGGGGACATCAGCTCCCAATTCTCATTTGAGTGTTGTTACATGAATTACATAAAGTTACATTTGTGCAGTGTTAGATATTTCAAGTTAACACAGAGTTAGTTCCACCTATCTATGCAAACGAAGACATAAATCAGATCTGCAAAACTGTCCTGAGGCTTGATAAGGTTTCAATGCATTAACTGTTCATCGAAGTACTTTTTATGTACTCTAGTATAAAGCAAGCAAACGTATTAGTACTAACTAGAATTCTATTTTAAACATGCTTTGATATCTTTATTCTGTTCATTTATATATAGGATATCTTCCAAATGCACTTTTATGCATTTGACTTAGTTGATTCCTTTCAGATGTCCTTGTCCATAGAGATCATACTCCTTATAGAGGATATATTCTTTCAAACGGTTTGGTAACGGCAGAAATGTCAGGAAGACAGGGCAGCGCAAACGTAAACGTCCTAAGCATTTTCGGATTCTCAGACGGCAAAGATGTTGCAGAGGACGTGTGTTTGCTGAAAATAAAATAATATGTCTCTAAAATATGAATTATCCACTCCTACATTTGATTCTAAGTCATAAGGAAGAGCTGGATGAAGAGATAAAAGGAATGGGAATCACGGAAAAGGAATGATCACATCTTCCTGTTCAGATTATTAACCTGCTCCCTATTGGTTAGGGAGAGCCCTTCAGAATATCTGTTGGGCTATTGTGAGGGTTATTTAGACAATCTGGTAGATAAAATTGCTCAGATTTACTCTGACATGGACTCTGACATACACACACCCCACACACACACGCTGTTGTTTAACAGAGCCATGAAGGTCTGGTTCTTCAGATAAGTCTTTGGCAAGGAGAATGAGACTCTGCTTCACTGCACTTCTCATCTTTGATCTTCATCTTTTATTGATTTTATTATAATTTCTTTGTTGTGAGCCCAAAGTAGTTGAGTTTTGACATCAGTACAATGCTGAACGTTTAAGGGAGGCCCTTAGAATAAAGCATGAATTAATTCCTGCCACAAGTACTTATATCCAGAAATTGGATACAAGTCTGATTGGGATGTTATAATACATACTGTATGGGATCTTTCCCCCCTCCCTCATAGTATGCTATTTGTATTCAACATGTTCTTTATTCAGTGTGGCAAGTTTTAAATCATTTTAACTGTGGTAATGGCAATGACAAAATTATATGAGAAAAATAGATCTAGAAGATATAAAACATGAACTTTCAATGCTGAGGCATAGAAGAAAGTACTAATTACTAAATCACTAATAGTAATTAAAGAGCTTGCTCTGTGTAAAAATTTTTTATGTTAAGTGATTTAAAATAATTTTAAATCACCTAGGCCAATTGTTAATATTTGTCTTTTAATTATGTTTTTAACTGTAGTATTTGGTATTTTGTAGTTGTTTTTATCTGGTTGTTAGCCGCCCTGAGTCCGCAAGGAGAAGGGCGGGATATAAATTATAATAAACATCAACATCAAACATCAACATTATATTTAGTGTGATCTTTGCTTCAAGTAAAATATTTAAAAAATCAGTCATATTTAGTAATAGGGAGAGATTGACTGTCAAAATATAACAAATTCCTCCAATAATTCAAATTATTTTAAATTATATTTACCAATAATACAGTTACTAATTCAAAAATTATGCAAGGTGGATGGACTCAGTTATACTGGCAGTAAGTAAAGGTTGGAAGACTTGAAAGATCAGATCAAGGACAGATTGTCATAGAGAAAAATCTATGTGATCACTAGGGAGTTGAAATTGATTTGATGGCTCATAATGAATAGATCAATCAGTTTGAAAAATTATAGCACACTGTGACAGTCATCTTTACATTCTGATAATTTTAACACTTACTCAAAATTGCATGGATTTCTGGCCACAGTTTTTGTTCTTGAAGAGTATCTTGAAGTTTAGAGCATATTCTAATATGATCTACATAATCTAGCATCACTCGCACTACCTTCCCAGACAGGTGCCTTAGCCATGATAGTGTAATCACTTCACAGAACTGAGAGAAAAAACAAGAACATGAGAACACAGAATTTAATGCCTTATATTATAAAGTGCATGATGCATCCAGACTACATTACCAGCAAAACAAAGCAAAAAACCATACACTGAATATAATTTAACAAAAATACCAGACACTTTTGAAATAACCAAATACTTGCCATTTATTCTACAGAGTGTCTCAACTCAATGCATTTCTAAAGATTTTGATCATTTTCAGTTTTGAAAACCAAACAAATCCTACCATCCCTTAAACACTGAGCAATTTATAAGTACTAATCAGCTTATAAAAGAAGGATTAATCTGCCCCAGGAAGTACTTACCATTGTGTCTTTGATAACAGTTGAGGTCCACCCTTCAAATAAGTACTTGGAATGCTTGCTGTCTCCATGAGGACAATCAAAACAGCGGGAAACATTGTATCCATAATTCAACAACATCCTTAACAGGACTTCATCTTTCAGTGTGTACTGTAGAGCCGATGGAAAATGAGTTGTATTGATTCTACAAAAGTAATTCACGTTGGCTCCATGGCGAAGCAGGAGACTGATGAGTTCATAGTTACCCATTCTCAAGGCCACTTGGAGGCAATTAACAGGGTCTTGATTTGGTAAGGCTCCAGCATCCAGGAGCAAATGTGCGGACTCAATATCCCCATTAGATACAGCAAAATACAGTGCTGACTTCCTCTCATCATCATAGTTTTTCTGAATTCTTCGATCCAACATAAAATTAGCCTCAAATCCAGATCTGAGTAGAAATTCAAGACACTGAGAATGTCTTTCTGCTGCCGCCGAGTGAAGTGGGCTGATTCCACTCTCCTTTATGGCACTGAAATCTGTGACTGGAATCAAAATCTGTAATGCCCTAGCAATAAGATAAGGATAAACATTCTTTAAAAAAAAGCCCTTTCAGTCTTACCTCAATTGTTCCTACCAGTGCAGGCAATGAGATCACCATAAATAGGCATGAACTGTAAGCTTCTATAAGAGAAGAGTTTCCATCAACTATCAACATTTTAGCCCCTGAATAAAATGTATATAAAAAGACAATTTCAGTGGGGAAAAACTCTAAAAAAAACCCAGCAGATAATAAAATAGGAGACGAAAGGGAGAAAGACATATGCAAACTGATTATTTCAAGTAATTTTATAAAGAAGAATAAATTCCTTAAAGTGCTACAGTAAGGGCAGTCCAAAAGAAACAAAATAGTGTTGATCCGGTCTATTCAGATCTATATTCTTCTATATTCACAAGCTTGGCTGTGGAAGTGTTGACTGTTCTAATACCAACAGAATATTCATATTCACATAAAACATAAATAAGGTATGTTACTTGTGATAATGTCAAAGAGATACCAAAAAACTATCAATTGGCCTGGCTTCTGCAAATATTTTTGTGTCACAGGACTAGGACAGTGAAATGCCGAAGAGAATGGACTTTCTTTCACAGATGTGTAGAAAAGACAATGTCAGCAGCTGAACAGTGCATAGAAAGCTACAGGCTTTTTCTACATAATTTTTTTAAGATGAAGAAGACTTATCTTTTCTACCTAGTAACTCAGGATTTGACAAATAGTAAAGAAACATTTCTCTTATCAGAGATATGTTAAACCACAAAGCAGAATAGATTACTTTCCCTCCTCCCCCCCCCACATTCCATAAATGGAATTAGTATGTTCTAACTCACAAGAAATGGCCTCTATAAGCAGCTCTATGGATCGGAAGATGACCAGACTGCTTTGGTACATTGGCATCAGCTCCATATTCTAGTAGGAGAGAGATGGAATCTGGGTTTCCTCCTCCAGCAGCCTCAAATAATATAGATGCAGAATCTGATGCTTGGGAAAGGACATCGGCACCTATTGGGAAAACAGCAGTAAGCTTTTAATAATCAATCAAAAATAATATGGTGCTTATGTGTATGGTTTATATCAACATAAAATTACTACATTGTGCAGTTTGTTGATACCAAGGAAATAGAATTGTTCTGTAGATAGGTCTAGGTGAGGTTGATGGTGGGATGGAAGTTGAAATTATGATGGAATATGAGAGATTCACTTCCATAAATCCTGATGATTAAAATGTCATCAATAGCTGTCACGTAAAAGAGGGGACTCACGGGTGTGAATAAAAAAGTGTAGGTCAGCTATAAAAATGTTGGCATATTGTATGTGCCTTAACATATAATCATACAAACTGAGATACAGTTGACATCATGACTAAGATAGACCAAAGCAACTGAGAAGCCACACTCCAACACTCTACTACCTTCTTTCCTCAGATCCCAAAACAATATATCAGAGAAAAATGTATATTCTAATGAAGTAATTTCCTAAAAACATATAAGACTCCTATCTGCATGGACACATCCCAAAAGCCCCAACCAAACATCTTCAATTTAGTTTTCAAAATATACAAGTCAGATTACTCAGGCCATCTTATTGCCTCAAATACTGAAACTATCACAATTTTATTTGACTAATTATGTTTTGAAAATTTTAACCATGTCTACAATGTCTTTGTCTCTGACTATATATGGACTATCAGAAATGATGCCTGACCTGCAAAGAATGACTGTTTTCATCTGAGCATCCCCACAATCAACAGAGAAAACATACACTTGGAACAGCTATTCACCATAATTAATAAATTTAGCACATTTTATAGAAGGCAGTTTCAACCATTCAGATCCTGGAACAACCATTAAGCTGTGCATTCTAGCAACTACCTTCTTCCTCCCAATTAGTGTGCATTTAACACAGAAGGTTTTATACAGAACCTCTCACCTTTACACAGTAGGAGTTCGAGAATTTCTGTATGCCCGTTCTGTGCTGCCAGTGCTAGAGGGGTGAGCCCATAAGAACTTCGTGGATCTGCATCTGCTTTGGACCAAAGTAGTAATTCCACCATGTCTTTCAAGCCTAATCTGGCTGCCTCATGTAAAGCTGTCCTTTTGTTGATACACTGTAGATTGGTATTGGCACCAAATTGTATCAATAAGGAAGCAATTTCATATGATTCACGTTCAATAGCTGTAAAATATTAAAATATGAAAGAGGAGCATTTGAAAATTTCATTTAACTCTCAGTTATTAAACTATTCAATCTCCACTGAGCATATGAGACTAAACCTTTGTTTAGCAGTCTCACATGTCATTTGTATACTGTATAATTAAAAGACTCACAGAGTAAAATGAAGTGCTAAACTTTAAAATATAACTTCAGTTTAAAAAAAAGAAGAGATAAACATTTTACAGTGCTGTTCCTCGTTCACATTTAGAAAAAAATGTCTTTTTTGGATTATAGAATAGAATAGAACTGGAAGGGACCTTGGAGATCTTCTAGCCCAGCCCCTCAAGCAGGAGAACCTATCTCAGACAAGTGACTGTCTAGACTCCTCTTGAAAATCTCCAGTGATGGAGTGCCCACAATTTCTGGAGGCAAGCTGTTCCACTGATTGATTGTCTTCACTGTCAGGAAGTTTCTCCTTAATTCAAGGTTGCGTCTCTCTTTGATAAGTTTCCAACCATTGTTTCTTGTCCTTTCCTCTGGTGCTTTGGTGAACAACCTGGCCCCCTCTGCCTTGTGGCAGCACCTCAGATACTGGAACACTCCTATTTATTCTTTTCTTTAGACTACCCCATGGGTCGGCAACCCGTGGCTCCGGAGCCGCATGTGGCTCTTTGAGCCTTCTCATGCGGCTCCCAGCTCCTCTGCCATTTGCAGAAAGAGAGACAGAGATGAGAGAGGCACTTGCACTTCCCTTCTCTCTCTCTCTCTCTCTTTCTCTTTCTCTCCCCCCCCCTCTGTCTGTGTGTGTAAAAAAGAGAATGGCCTCACATTCTCCAACAAACTGACAAACTGACAAACCTAGATTTTCTTTTGCAGCCCGTTTCCTCATCAAGAAAGCCACAGAGAAAGCCTTTCATAGTAGGAAGAGAAGCCCATTCAAAATAAATGGGATTTAATGAGAATATTAGAAATCCTATTTGGTTTAGAAACATAGCACTACCCAAGAGAAGATAATTGCACTGTTAATACTACTGTGACCATATAATTACTGGTGTTACTATGTAACTATCATAGATGTTGATTTGTATGACAAAGATTTGTTTGAAAATATGAATGGAGCTGAATAAAGATGGAGGGCAACTCGGTGCAGGCCATAAAGGCAGAAGAGTTTATTTTTGGAGATTTCTATTATGCAACAAGTAAAACAACAACAGAATAAAGACCTCTAAGAAGAATATTTGTAGCTCAGGGTTGAAATGAGGGCTCTTGGTGCTCTCTGAGCTTGGTTGTTTTCTTGCAGACATTTCATTACAGACTAGTGATGATGATGATGTTACCTAGTTTGCGTAATGAAGCATTTAGAAGAAAACAACCAACTTAAGAAAGCACCAAGGACCGCTCAGACCTCTAAAAAGATACAACAAAGGATAGTTCTAAAAATATTAGCTCGTTACCATGTGAAGCAGGCAATAGTACTCACATAGGGGGTGGGGTGGGGGGTTGAAGGAATATGAGGAGGAGCGAGAAAAGTTCCAACCATGCTGGAAGTTATAAATGTATATGAATTTTTCTAGAACTCAAAGCTAGATTGACCAGATACGGTTTGAGTCTATGACCTAAATAAAGCTTGGGGTGGAAGTAGCAAGTGAAAACAATGGAGAAAAATGGAAATTTATTCTTGCCACCTGAATGGCATAGAAATAGCCAACTATATCCTTAAATTTGGCATGAAAAACCCCTTTCAATCAATACAAGCTATCATTATTTTATAACTGGGAATGTTTAAATATTATCAGACAAACAATATAATTTGGTTTACCAATAATTAAAGCAGAATCTCCTTCTTCATTCCTAGTATCTGGATCAAACCCATTGATTAGCAGAACATTGACATTTTTCACAAGACATTTGTCCACAGCCAGAAACAGAGGAGTTTCTCCTTTCAGGCTGGTCTGTTGCCAGACAGTAGGATGTGAAGCTGAAAGAGAGAGCTTTGTTTGAATTCATAAGTTAATATATGAAATTGACACATAGTCCTCAAAGGAACATTACCTTTCAAAGTAATTTCTAGAATAGTCTTGTTTGGTTGGACTGCTGCTTCATGAAGAGGAAGCCAACCTTGGGAGTCTACTTCCTGAAGAGCAGATCCATTCCTCATCAACTTAAGTAAAGACTCTTCTTCACCTGTGATGAGTATGAAAGATCTACAATTTATGCTCTTTGAACTCAAAGACCACTTTGTTTTAGTTAATAAATAACAAATTCTTGTTAAAATAATAAAAGGCTGCCTCACACCTGCAAGTGCTACTTTTAATTTCTCCACACATGAGGGTTGAGATCAACTAATTGAGATCATTTGTGTATTTTTAGTAATTCTCAAGAAAATTGAACTGATTACTTAACTGTCCGAATGGCAGCGATGATCTTTCTGTAATCTGGACTTGTTGCGAAACAAAAGCTGCAAACAGAATGCAGTAGCATTTTAAAAAAGTCAAATATTCTCATATTACACTGAATTTCAGACTGCAAAAATGGTGGGAAAAAAGAACATGTTTAATTTGTATATTTAATATATTGGTGTTTCATACAGGAAAAACCAGGTCCTATACACCTGGTGAGTAAGCTCCTGGGGTATTTTGCAATTGAGTAGGACAGTGGTGGCGAACCTATGGCACACGTGCCAGAGGCGGCACTCAGAGCCCTCTCTGTGGGCATGCTCACTGCCGCTGCCAGCAGCTTGCGCAGGTCCATTAGGCTGCCACCGCTGCCCGGAGCGGCAGCCCCACCCAGCACAAAGGAGGCGAAGCAGCCAGTTAGCAAGCTCGAGTAGAGGTGGTAGAGCACGCCCACACCCAGCAAGCCAAAGGCCACCCCGAGCAGGGAATGGCCCCCCAGTCCCAGTTAGGATTGCGTGCCTCCCCCCATCTATGCTGGGCCTCCTGCCCACTGCCCCACTCACCAGACACCCCCTGCATCTCCCCCAACTCTGCCTGGCCCCCACAGGTGACCCCCCCATAAGCAACATTGAGGTGGCCATGCCCACCCCAGCCACGCCCACCCAGTCTGCTGTGACAACTGCCCCCATGCCCCCCAGTGAGCCACACCCCCCAGTGGGCCACGCCCCCATGCCCACCCTGAGGGCACCACAATGCTTATGCGGCCCTGGCACTTTGCGATAAATAAGTGGGTTTTGGGTTGTGGTTTGGGCACTCGGTCTCTAAAAGGTTCACCATCACTGGAGTAGGAAGTTTATCTCCAACTGTAAAACTGCTGCCTATCCTTCTTTAGAGGGAGGCAAAGGAAGATCAATAGTTTGCTTTAATAAAACATTAAAAGCAAAAACAGAACATGCAAAGTTAAAAACATTGTAATTGGCATTATATTGAAAAATAAAATAAAATAGGTACTTTATAATTTACACATTTATCTCTTTATATACAATCTTTTTTTTTGGGGGGGGGAGATTTTTCATATTAAATGGATACTAGCCACACTTATAAATAAAAACATGCCCGGTCCTAAAGATACAAAATTTATCACATAAACACACAACATATGGAAATCCCCATGCTTGTAACAATATTCTATGAACAGTTGCACTGCATTCTGTGAAACTCTATTTCAAAATTATATAGATTCTGTTTCAAGAAACATTTTAACAGACGCTAGAAACAATATATCAAAGACAGTGCATACCTGTCACTCTTTGGGGTTGTCACTGTCTTGCTCCCGAGTATGTCATGCAGGCTTTGCTGAATGACAAGCTGCATAGGGATATCATCCTCAGCTTCCTCATCAGGCATTTCTGTAGTATCATACAGGTTAAAAACACATATCTTAAATTACAAAATGAGGTGGGGTTAAATGCTATGTTGCATCTTCTAGAAATATCAGAAGCCAGAGATATAGAAATATGTAATGATAAACAAAAGCAAAGCATTCTTAACTGTTCTGTCTCAATTTGTTTTTGAGCATTAACTTGACAGACAGCGGGACCATCAGGTTCACACTGAGCAGATCAGGTTATCGGTTTGACTTGTTTTTGCTCCTCTTTCTGAGCACATGCCTGTGCCAAGGAACCCAGCATTTGAGGGCTCAAATCTTCCTCATGCTTTGTTCTCCCATCTTTAATGCCCCCACCCTTGTCCTACAGATTTCTTTTGCAATGCCCTTCCTCACTCTGCTCAGATTCGCTGCGTGTGTAAGGAAAGTGCTGGGTCATGTACATTAAAAAGCAAAACAGTTCAGCTGAAAGCTGTTCAGACTGAATGGAAAGAGATGCAGAACATCTGGACTTTATTAACAAACAAGGAATATCGTTTGCAATGCAGATGTTTCCTTGTAAAAAATCACTAGCATTTGATTTAATAGTCTATTACTGTTCAGGAAACACTCTCTGTTGTACATTAAAAATGGCTTGCACCATAAGAACAGAATTAACGGTAGAATGAGGTCAAAGCTGATCACTTTAACTAGCATTGTTTTCAGTTATTTTCCCCATTAAAACCAATGGTATTGAGATATATTTTCATTTGGGTGCTTCAAAATAAATGCATAAATATTGAAAAAGTGTTAAAAATTATTCAGTAAAGTTTACAGGATACAGGAAAATCACAAAATGCCTTTTCTCTTTGGAATGCTAACACATAAAAAGCAAAACATGCAAACACGCACACAGACTTGTGTTACTCCTGGAATAATCAAGAACAACATTCCAGAAATGCCAACACTTAACTTTTATTATTTAAAAATAGCTTAGGAAGTTAAGCTATTGGGAGAACTGACTTTTTATAATGACAAGACACATTTTCCTCACCTTTCTCCCACATTTGAAACACAGATCGCTCACTCTGAGTAAGTGTCAAAACCAAATGTGATGTTTGATGTATTGAAAAATGATCCTGGGCTTGTTGCATCATTGCAACCATTAATAACTCACTATAAATATCTCACCATAAGACGTTTTCTCTTGCAGACAGGACATACGGAGTAAATGAGGGTCAGAAAATGAACCACATGTATAATAACAAAAAGTATCCACAGAACAGGCATTTTAAAATCAGTTTGTAATAACTGTTAGCAAAATTTAATTGTTTCAGAAAATTCCTAAATGCATGGCATATAATTAAAGCAGCAGCAAGAACCTGAAAAATTATTCAGTAGCAGATAACTAGTCATATGTAGAAAAACATGAAGAACGTTGATTGATTGATTGATTGATTCATTCATTCATTATAAGTCATGAAATCAATGTTTACTCTCTTAGCAACCATACAGATTAATTTTCTCCATGACAATCTGCCAGTATCCTGGGCTTTGGGGTATTCAGCAGTCCACTGAAGGACATGATGCACCCGAATGAAAATATATCTCAATATAATTGATTTTAATACGGAACATCTGAAAACAATGCTAGTTAAAATGCTCAACTTTATTTAATTCTGTCATTGAAATCCATCATATGAAAAACATTAACTTTGCATTATATACACTATAGTAGGTGTCATGCCTCTGTCGGAGCCTGAATCTGCAGAGGAAAATGAGCTATGGAGGGCGAGGGAGAGGTGTCTGTGGCTTCAGAGGAATGTGGAGAAGAGCAGGCCGAGGTAGGCCAGGGCCCTTCAGGATTGGGACAGGATGAACAGGAGAGACAGAGTTCAGGCGATGAGCAAGGGCCACCCCCACCTGATCCTAGAGCACAGAGAGTGGAGAGCAGGAGGGAACAACGCAGGCAGGCTCAACTACTCGGGAGAAGAGCGTTCCGCCCTTTCCACAAGGCACACCTGGAGACTGAAATTTAAGGAGATGCTGTGAGGAGGGGCATTTGTCAGGAACAAATGCTGATTCCTTGGAGTTTTGTGTGTTGTTGCTGATCTCTTGTTCTGTGACTTCTGCTTGGAAACCTGGAAACTCTGACTATTGGACTGACTGACAATGGGGGGGTCATCACAGTAGAATTCTTAGAAGAACATATACCATTGTCTCAATGTATGTATCAGATTGAGCATATGTAGAGATAGAGGTCATGTAGAGTTCGTGAGCAGCACACTGCCTCGGCTCAAATGCATGATCTCATCTATATGATCTCACCTAGTTCACATGATCTAGGCTAGTTCACACCAACAGGATGTTGCAGAAAACTGCCCCTGGCTGGTGCCCCCTGACTGGTATATTCTTAAGGATTGACAAGGAGTATCCACCAATAAAAATGCTATTGCTATGCTGTTGCTATGTTACCTTATGCTTCTTGGAAAACTGTATAAAAAGCAATAAACACTGCGAAGGAGGGAAGGTCCTCTTTGCACCCTGCAATGACTGGTCTCTGATTCCGTCAAGCATATACAGCCTTGGATAGAATAGCATTAAGACTACTTTTCATTGCTTTTTATGATAAAACAATGGTTTTTTTTATAAAAAAATCTTCATTTTCTTAGCATAATTTCTCTAATTCCTGGGGGAAGATATGTTAGCTGGAGCTTTTCTTCTAGTCTTTTGTCATCAATAGCTGGCTCTTGACAATAGTTATTTCATCACTAATGATTGGAACTGCCATTTTGTATCAAGGATAACTATATTTTCTACTCTGAGTGTCTTCCGGTAGAGAGAAATTATGTCAGGTTAGGAAGTTAAGAATTTTAACAGAAGAACTTCACTCACCCCACTCTATGAGATGGTGGATTCGATTCAATCCCAAAGAAAAAAGCTATTTCCCATTCTTGTTATACATATAGTAACCTACCAAATACCCTGTAAGAATTTGTTAGAGCTGCATATGAACTTATTTCGGGGAGAGAGTTCATTTCTAATGTTGCAGATATCATACACATCGTATCAGAAACCAAATAGCCTATTTGCAACAACAGAATCCAGGTATTATTCTTCATTAGAATTGACCAAACTGACTATGCAAACCAGATGTACATCTCTGCTACTAGAAGCCATTACTGTACAAATAGGAGGTGCACTTGAATCAGAGAAGAAGTGTTAAGAAAACACCAATTTTTCAGGGAACCTAGGATATTCTCTCAATCACAGAACTTGGAAGGGCAAGTTTATTTTCCATTAAATAATTCTACTCTGCCCCTTCACTCCAGTTATGCATGTTGCAAAAACAAGGCTACTGTGCTAAATCAGTCCATAAATAAAAGTTGACTTCTTGCTTTTTCTGTGATACCTGTTTTTGGATTGTAATGATGCCATAACACGTCAACACTGCAAACAAATTTGGCTGAAGCCATTTTCCCTTCATTTTCGGTTGCCATGGAATTGGGAGGGGGGATGAGTATTTTTTAGCTTAGTCAAAACAATAAATTGTTCTGTGGGATCCAAGGTCATTGTTGATTGCATTTTGACACTGAAGCTTCTGTTAGAAAGGCCGCTCAAGTAGTTAATTGGGGAATGTGATTTATGACATATTACTTGGGTGGGAAGTTCAACTTTGTAACATTGTAAACTTTGGGAGGGAACTGCAGTCTTGGTTTCACTTCTGATTGTGCCAATACTATGTAGCCAAATAAATATGTTCTTTAAGGAAACCTTTTGTATTGGAGTTCTGTTTTACTGGTCTCATCTATCAGAACCATGACATAACACATATTATCGATTATGCTATCACCGCAACACTTTCCACAATATGATCAAGAACTAATTCCAGCTACTCTGGGTTAAAGGTATGTGCCATCCACATAAGAGTAGTAAAGTGGAATGCTTTTATATTTTTTAAAAAACATACACACAAAACATGCAGAAAGAATAGTCCACCGAGGGTATTCTTTCCAGCAGGAGATGAGGGTTAACAATTTTAATCTAACCCACCTTCCAGAGTCTCTCAAAAAAAGTGGAAAAGTTGTCCAGGAAGTAGAAATCAACACAGACTCAATCAAATGTTTTAGATATTCAAATGTTAAGAGTTGAAAGGAAGCAACAACATTTTTGAGCAAAAGGAAAGATATTTTTCAACAACTTCTAAATGAATTATGATGGAGTAAATAAGACACTGTGCATATTGAACACTTTTCTTATAAATGAACAGAAGAAAAAACATCAATAAACAAAAGAATGGCTTCAGTTTATGGGAAAAGATTGTAACCAGTTTCAAAGTCTGAATGATCAAAATATTTAGAAAGTCCTTTGTTCTAGGCAAAGATATGAATATGGAGTATTTAATCTCCTCTGGTTGAGTTCTATATAATTAGTCATCCAGCTGACAAAGTAGAGCAACTCCTCGCTTGATCCAGTGCTGGACTAGCTGGTCAGTTAGCAACTTCATTGCAATGACAAAGTTAGTTGAATGCCCGGTTGTTGAAAGGACTCCTTTGCGTTCACTTGTCTTATACAGTGGACACACATATGCATTTGATTTCTTAATCTCTGATGTTTTGGCTGCAAGGGAAAAATTATATAAGGTTAAATAACTGAGAATAATGCATACCACTAAATAAAACTACTGAATGCCTACAAACAGCTTATAAACTGCACTGCAGCAAGATGGAGTAAAACTGAAGGGAAACAACCACGCACATCGCATCTCTTGAGGTGGCAATTAAACATGGGAATATAAGTGAAACATTAGGGATTAATTTCTTACTTATCTTTCTCTCTGACATCTTATATTGAGTATGATGGGATTTATTTATTTTCATGTTTAAAACATCCCACTTTGACAATAGCAATTTGAGAATAAAATAAAATTATAATTAAAAATGGTTAAGTTCTAACAGACAAATACTAACATAAAAAGTAAAAAGGGGAGTAGGAAAATGCCTTGATTTAGTGGCTAAAGTTCAGTAGCAATGCTATGTGAGCACTTCCAGAGATACAGACTGAATTAACTGGAGCCACCAAAAAGGATGAAAGTTAATTGTTAAATGCCTTAAATAAATATAATGCCTTCTGAAGAACATCTAAGATTGGATAGATTTTTATGGGAGGAAATATCTAGTCCAAAGTGATTTAGGGCTTTAGAAGTCAAAGTAATACATTAAACTAGTACCTAGAAATAAATGTCAATCATGCTGGCATTTGAGGTTTGTTTTTAAAAATAATGATAAATATTCAGATCAATGAATCCTTGTGTAGAATCTTGATGTCATGTTACAAAGGAGATTTCTTGCGATAGTCAATGACCTTATATGCAATATATTAAAGATAAAGATAAAGATTTCCACTGCCTAATTGCATCCGACTGAACATTTCCAAATAACTATTTGACAAAGATTCACTTACCTGGTTTTATCCAAATAATGGGCATCATGTCAAAGAGAATTTTGGGATGTTGTTCACCTAGGAGCCCTCTGGTGAAAAAAACCAACAATTGTGGAAAACTACAATAATTCAGTTTTAAAAAATGAAATTTTATGTAATATAACATATTTAGGAAAAAGAAGAAAAATATAGCTACTCCAGTCATCATAAATCTAATCTTCCACCATAAATTAAGAATTAGTGTTTCAGCACAGAGTGGTTATGTTTGTGAAGTTACTTGTGAATGCCATTTTCTATTCAATTCATTGAAGGGCAATGATCTGAGCAAATATTAATAGACAGATCATCCAGATGTTAGAAGATGGGAGTGCAGAAGAATGTCTTCCTATTAGCTGTGAAGTGGTAAAAAGTGTACTATTATTGGGAAAATTTACTACTATTCCCATATTTTAAAGATAAATTTGCTTTAAAACCTATAGTATATATCAGTGGTGGCGAACCTATGGCACGGGTGCCAGAAGCGGCACTCAGAGCCCTCTCTGTGGGCACGCGTGCCATCGCCCCAGTCCTAGGCCTTCAGCTGGGTTTTATAAAACCTTTTCGCTTTAGGCCTCTGCCACCGTGTACAAAAAAAAAAAGGTTCAATCAATCAGTCAATTTCAACTTCTCGCGGGGAAAAAAAGATCTTGCAAAGTTGGAATTGATTGATTGAACTTTTTAGTCCCACCCAGTCTGTTGTTACCACTGCAGCCACACCCACCCAATGGGCCATACCCCCCAATTGGCCACACCCACCCGGCACCTGACGATGCATAAGTGGGTTTTGGGTTGCAGTTTGGGTACTTGGTCTCTAAAAGGTTCGCCATCACTGGTATATATATTACAATCTCATGATTTTTATAAATCAATTTAATGCATTGCCATATCTCTGTTGCAAACATCCAGGTCACCCCAAACAAATAATTTGCCAACAAATAGTTCAGGTTTTCTGCATCATGCCAGTTAGTGGTTGTCTAGCATTTTGGATCTCCGTATGATGGCCCTGTTTTTACTCCTATTGATTTTGCTAGGAAAAGGGAATGTAAGATGTCAAGTTACAAAAATACATTGAAAATTAGTATTCAAGAAAAGGTGGAGAAGCAATTTTAACACTGTATATGCCATACATATTTACTACTAACTTTGCTCTATCCCAGCGAGCTCCATCTAAAAATAGCCCATTGATGTAAACACCATCTTCTGGAGCAGTATTTGAAGTATCCTTTGGAATAACCTGAACAAAATGAAAACAATAAATTGTTGCTTTCATGTTACAATCATTTGTTCATTGGAAATATGGTGACCTTTTTGGCAATGAAATATAATTTTAGTACTAGCTTTTCCAATATGAACAGAGGAAGTACTGTATTTAGAGATTACTCTCCTTTAAATTTCTTCTTTGTTCCATCCAGACCTTGATTTCTGTGAGTGTGGCTAAATTAATAATGAATAGGGATATGCAGCTACTTGGATCCAAAGCAGGAAAAGTGTTTCTTCTGACATGGCACAGGTATTCTTATTTTGCTTGTCACCAGCTCCCTAAAGAAACATGATGAAGTGCATCCTAAGTGATTACTACCCAATTGAAGGAAAATTTATGGCTCCTTTAACAAGCTTCTAACACATACAACAAGCATGCTGTTTTGGGGTTCTAAACTCCATTCCCACTTTGGATCAAAGCAACTGCACATATATAACAATGATTAGTGTCTCAATTGCCCCCTAGGTCTTCACTAATTAAGTTAGATTGCTATTAAAATGGGAGAGTTCCAGGTGAGGAAAATGGCAAATAGATGTCTCTGAAGCAGCACAAAGTGGCAAAAGCTGATAGATGGCAGTCAGCACCACCTAACGAAAGCTCCAGTCAAGAAGAACATGAGAGATACCCACTTGGGCTCCAGCTAGCAGAAGGCAGAGTGGCAGGGGTGACAGAATGCAAGGCAACCAGAAAGGCAGCGATGGTGGGGGAGCCGAGGTGAGCACGGCAGGGCAACAGAAGCACGAGCTCCTGGCCTAACAATGGTGTGATTCTGGCTTACTGACAATAACTAGGATTACCGGAACTGCCATTGCTAAACAATTCAGTCACTTGATGTTTCACCTAATGACTACTTTGTTTAATTACCAAAATTCTGATCCCAGTTAGGATCTTTAAGCAAGAACTACCAATATCTGGGAAGGAAACAATAATCTCCTTCAAATTTTTTGAATGACTGAGGAGAAGATAAAAAGCTACATCAAGTTCTCCACCACAGCCTTGGCACCTGCTTGCTTGTGCGTTTATGGCCCACCTGACTGCAACTTTAACTATAGCTATTCCTTTAAGAGGAACTGAGCTGTATGATTTCCTGCGTAGTTTTTTCCTCACTTCTTCCTGTTTTTCCAGGCTCCATTTATGTTTTCCTAATAGCTGTTGTGTACCTTCTCCAAGGCTATCTCCGTATTTAAATACAGTATGCAGCGGGTATTACAAAAAGATTAGATTACCCTGGAAAGACAGGATGGAGTAAAAGGCAATTAAGATCAGCCTGCCTTATTTCTCTTAGCTTTTAAATATTCTATTATGATGACGATAAAGTAGGATGCCAGTACTTATTGTAGTATCTGTTTCTGCCTTCATCTACTTCGAAACACTGAGGAATCAAAATAGGTACACATATGAATTAACAGTTATGTACCAATAAACTTTGCAGATTTTGCAAATTCCTATGTAATTGTCAACACTGTGACAATGGATGTCGTCGCTCTGACAACTGAGAATCAGCAGCCATTTTTTACTTTTGCTTCTAATGTGCCTTTTCTCTTCTTTTAGAGTTCAGATGTAGAAGGGGGGATGGGGTAAATGCTTGAGGGTTTAGTTTGTAGAAGTGTGGGAACTCAAGGACATGGTGTGATAAGGTTTTGGCGGGCTGAGGAGTCCGGGGAAAAAAGCCCAAGTTTTTGCGTTAATTGGGGAATGTGATTTATGACAGCGTCTGTAGGGTGGGAATTGCAACTTGTTACTTTGTATCTGGGGGAGGGAATCTCAGTTTTGGGTTCAACTATGTAAGTGCCAATACTTTGTTTCCTAATAAAATGTTCTTTAAGGAAGAATTCTTGCCTTGAAGTTCTTTTAACAGTTTCATCTATTGGAACCATGAGAGTAATCTGTAAAATTCAGCCTTTCCACTTAATTTTACCTGAAACTCATATCCCAAGAGATCAATAGGAATAGTGTACTTCCTGGCATAATTCTGCATTGCTCCAGTTAAAAATGCTTGCGTGAAAAAGAATCCTGAGAGCCAAAACACGCATGGTTTTCCAGAATCATACCAATCCTTGGAAAAGAAATAGAAGAATAATCTTGGTTTAGAACCATATTTTATATAAAACATATTGGCAAATTATTAATAACTTTAGTAAATTATTTCACAATAATAAAATGATCAATTATATGTTTGTTGCTTTACCTGTAAGAATTTCAGTCTAGCTAGAAAATCTAGAATATAGCTTCCCAGTGGTTTTAGACTTGGGTATGAACGTTTAGCCCAGTTTTCTGCAACTTTTCCAATAAGAAGACTGCCGCAAAGGGCCTCTAATTCAGAATCCATCACAACCAATCCTTTAATCGCTTTCTTCAAATTTACCAAAGTTGTGCGTATGGTTCTTATTAAACTAAATGTAAAAAAAATGTAGACACATAATTCAAATTGCAAATTTTATATATCCTACAAATAATTACATGTACAAATGTACTTCTCTATTCTCTAAAAAAACAATACTATTATTTTATGACAGCTTTAAAACGTATTTGTAACTTAACTGTTTCTACTGTAGGATTAGATTTAATATAATATATATAATCCATGTGCATATATAAAAATATGAAGAAAACAAAGCCCTTACTTGTTAAAACGTTCCATTTCTTGCACCAGAACCGTATTCATACTTTCTTCATATCTCACGGGATATTTAATAAGTGCTGCCTCAATATCATAATCATTTGGAAGCTAGAAAGGTTGATATACATATTTTAATTCTGTCAAATGTAAATTTGTTTTATGACTATATTTATATGATCATAATAAATCAAGATATGGCAAATAAAAAGAATTCAAATTCCTATTGCAAAATTCCAATTGCTATTACACAAATTCTATATAGCACAAGTATTATTCCAGTGAGAGCATGAAAAGATCAATTAAGGAGGTAAATATCTTTCAACCAAATCACGTGAAATTATTTTCTTTCTTTTCCCCCCCCCATTAAATTAAAATTAGGGGAATACAATATTTTTTTAACAACATTGTTATGGATGGAGTCTACAAGCCAGATTACAGATTCCTAATTCACATCTCCAATAACAACAACAACAACAACAACAACAACAATAATAATAATAATAATAATAATAATAATAATAATAATAATAATAATAATAATAATAAAGTTGGAAGGGATCTTGGAGGTCATCTAGTCCACCCCCCTGCTCAGGCAGGAAACCCTATACCATTTCAGACAAATGGCTGTCCAGTCTCTTCTTAAAAACTTCCAATGTTGGAGCATTCACGGCTTCTGGAGGCAGGTTGTCCCATTGGTTAATTGTTCTAACAGTCAGGAAATTTCTCCTTAGTTCTAGGTTGCTTCTCTCCTTGATTAGTTTGCTAATCCGTTGCTTCTTGTCCTGCCTTCAGGTGCTTTGGAGAATAGCTTGACCCCGTCTTCTTTGTGGAAACCCCTGAGATATTGGAACACTGCTATGTTAGTTCTTTGTCTCATACAAAGAGGTTATTGATTTCTTTCTGTTTGGGTTGTTGTGTTTTATTTATTTGAGTATGATGGAATTTCGCATTGAAATTCAACTGTTGTTCATATTTTGAGTTACAGCAAATATGTTCCAACTGCAATGACATTTATGATTAAATGTATACTTTCGCTTCTCATCAAGAAGCTTCTTCAGCCCTGACTGGATGGTGGGGGAATGGAAGGATTTATATTCCTTGCAGACAGCTAATCATTTGCATTCTTTCAGAGAGCTGCTGAGGCCACCTGGAGGTTTATCTGTGTTGTCAGGGTCATCTGAATAGTGCAAATGGGTGTGGAGCCAATGTATTTGTATCTTTCAGCGTGCTCATAAGGTTGCACTAAATTCTATCATTCTGGGCTTTGGATCTCCTCCTCCTGTGTAAAATCTGTCTTTTGTTTGTTCAGTTGCTTCTGATATTTTTTGTGATCTGGAAAAACATTCCCTCTCCTGGATTGCATGTCAGTAATTTTGATGAGCTTTTGTAAGCTCATTCTGGTGTTAGAGATAATGCCAATCAAATTACCTTCTGACAGCTTCTTTTTTGCCTGCTTTTGATTTTTTCAAGCATCACGGTCTGCTCTGTTGATTTTTGTTTTTACATCATGTGTACAAATCTTCTAGTTTCATTACTTGGGCTGCAAGGGAACAATCTGGCCTTGCTTTATCTATTGAATGATCAATTCATGGTGTTCTTAACAATTTTCTGCAGCACTTTAATTCAAAAGCATTTTTTCTTCATTTATTCTTTCTGATGATTCAATGTTCAGAACATGTTGCAACTGGGAAAGTTATAGCTTTCACAATATGTATCTTCTTTTGTCAGTATGAAGTTTTTATACTTTAATAAATTGAGAACTTTAAACAATATAGATGAGATTAGACTAGATTAGACTAACAGCAGAAAAATAATTCTGAAGCAGTTATAGTATATTTTATTTCAGTTCATATTACCTTGTTAAGGATGTCATCTGCAATTTCATACAAAGTGCTGTCACCACCACTTTTAGACCCTCCTTGATTGGTTCCTCCTTGTGTCAGCAGAAGGGATTCAAAAGTGATTTTTGTTTGCTGGAGATCCTTTGATATATCTACATTATCATGCAGCCCAAACACTTCTGGTTGCTGACTAACAGGAAGATTCTAGATAATAAAACAGAATTAATTATTTAGGACTGAGGAAATATTAATCTGATCAATTAGTTTAGCAGATCATCTGAGAATTGAATAGCTCTGCAGATAAGCAGCAGAAATCTTTCTTCTAGCGTAAAAAAAAAAATCTACACTCAAACCAATACTATACCAGCATTCATCATGCTGAACATTGATATTTTTTTATTTGGATTTCATTTGGCACTATTTTCTATAAAGATAATATATTACAGTTGTCTATAGACAGATATGTGCTCAAGATGAATTTAGCTTGCTAAATCTTTTTAAAAATATGAACCCTGTACATAAAAGCATACCTTAATAAATTCAATGTAATCATCATAAGTGCCCCTTGAGGGAGCATAATAGTTGCCACTAGGAGAAAACTTATAATGTGAATTCTCCACTATATCTGAGTTGTAAAAGTCAGCAAGCATAGTCAGTAGTAGACGTCTGTCCCAGTCATCTGTCACTCTTCCTCCATAGTTGCACTCACCCGTAAGGTAAGTTATTGCTTCAAATGGGATGTGTTCATACTCATTTATAAACAACTGAAATTGTAAACAAAATACTCAGCAGAGGACAACAACAATATTCAGGTGTTCTCTAAACTTCTCTAAAAAATTTTATCTGTTAAAAGAGTATCAATATTTCAAGACTGAACTATTTTTCCCAGCAGGGTTCTGGAATGCCCACTTCAAAGAACATCAAAGAAACATGGAAATTAATATTAATATATTTAACAGAACAGCTCATGTTTCAAGCAAGTTTACTAGTTTTTTTAGCTTCCCTTAGTAAGGAAATATTAGGCAAGAAATACGGACTGATAAGCTGGGTGCATATCTGACTTTCTCAGTAGTAGGATCTACTCAAATATGAATTTAGAATGGAATCAGCTTATGAACATTTTGCTACAACCTTGGGTAGATATTGGAAGAAACAATGAAAAGGCGTACCTGCAATTGTCTGACACTGATTCGCAAGTCTGATTCATTAAATCCGTAGGGAATATTCCATCCCAGAGGTCCAAATTTTTTTCTCTCCTGTACTAGGGCATGAAAAAAGCAAACTCCAAACAGCAGCTTCTCCCATCTCTTGTAAGGGGAAAAACCACTCAGTTAACCCAGATGGAAAGAAGACAAGGCAAACACAACTGAAAAATTCTGTACCTAGAAAACTCGTGGCTGATAATAACATTCAAAAGTTGTTTTGGCCATACAGTGATATTGTCACTAACTCCAAATGAGTTGCCTTTTCCTATCAGTACACTTTATTCAGGACCAAAATCTTATATTACTCTGCATCCTTTCAAAGGCTTGCCACTTGCCTAATTGCTGCTTTGCTAGGCAGCCCACACAGAGCATTTATTTTAATATATTGATTGGATGAGAGACTCTTCCTTACAGGTAATATACAATGATGGAGAACTTAGCCTCCTTGAAGTTAACAGTTTTGTAGGATTATGGTACTGATGGATACAAAACTTTTGAAATTGTGGCAGAGGAAAAAGATAACAAAACAGGGAGATATCAGCAAGTATGTGGAGTAAAGATTTTATAAAAAAGGCCAGGGAATACAAACTTTTTATACAAAAATCAAAACATAGAGGCCCATACTTTAAAGCATACTTTAAAGCTACACTTTAATATTTGGTGAGCAAAATTGTGTAATTTTGCTAATTAATTATCTCTTTACTAATTTTTAGGAAGAAAGTTACCTGCTCCTTTCCAGGACACCCAGCAAAAAAGTCGGCATCAGAAAGCGGATCAGAGAGGAAAGACTGAAGTAAATTCAGCCGGAGGCCAGTAGGAGGTTCATTTGTCATCTTCACACCGTTCTGAAGAATGGTGACTGGAAACTAGGCAAAGTGAGCATGATAACTTTACTAACAGTAAAGTTTGCTAACATTCTTTTAAATTATTCAGCATACACTACCTTTTTAAAATATTGTTTGTGGTGTTTTTTGTGTCTCTACATCAATCAATGAATCAACCAATCAATCAAACCATGAGGTTCCAGCACTGTCAAGACAATTAGCAGGAAATGCTGCACATAGCATGGATACCACTAAGGCAAAAAAACCTCATCTAATCTTTCCTTCTCTAAGTAAAAAGCAGCATTATTTATATATATATTTTTATTTGCACATCTTATCACATTTAAGCAGCTTAGTGTCACCTCGAATCCCAGGATGGGCAACTAATAAATTTAATAATAAGTAAATATGAAATATGAAAGCTTTATTAAAGCCATGATGAGTTGCAGAGAACATCTTTGGGACTATCTGATGATAGCCATAAAAGATTTATTTATTATAGAATACAAAATTTTTATAAATACTCAGATGCATTTCATATTTGGAATACCTTGGGTGATGGATAACTAGTCAGCCAGAGTCTGAAAGAAGAATGGCAAGTTTCACTGTTAAACTCTTCACAGATTTTCTCCAGCATTGGCATCCAGGAAACAGCAAGATGGCAGTTTTGTAAACAAACCCAGGTCCCTTCCTCCATTCCTTCTCTAATCATTTTTGTTGCTATTGGTCCTTGCCCTTGTCCCAAAGAGATGGACTGAAATTTACTTCCAATCATATTTTTGTCATTTGCAAATTTTAAAAGACCTGGCATGAAAACAGTAATACATTAATATTTGTCTGAAGTTAATTATAAAACGCACATCTAAAACTATTTGTAAGTCATGCCTTTTAGTTTATCCAGGCGCTGTATTCAAAATCAGATTTGATAAATATCTACATTTCATGTGTAGGTTTCAGGCGGCAAATGAATTGATTAATATGGGGGCAATTTACATATACCAAGGCACAAAAAAACTGCATAATTTGGAAATATGTTTAATGTGAATGTTTACACCATCAGAAAAGATAGTTACATTATTAGTTTATTATATGTAATATCTCCTAGTGCTACTTCTGCTCATAATATCTGAAACTTCTGAGGCTGAGTCACATCTCATCTCTTTAGCTCATGAAAAGATAATAATGAATAGTACATTTACAAAATAATGTTTATTTATTTGTGCATATATCCATGCCATCTCATCAAACAATTCCAGGTGGCTTATAAGAAAATACTCAACATAAAAACCAAAACATAGAGGCATCATGAATCTGTACAATAAATACTAGATTACAGTATTTCTGATCTTTCAGTCCACAGATCTCCTGAGTAAACTACTATCAGTCCACAATCCCTTCTAAAACTTCTTTGGAAAAGCACTGTTTTTATTATTTTTCAAGAAGATAATGAGGAAAAAGCCAACATCTGAGAAAAAGCAATTCCAGAGTGAAGAGGATAGAATCAAGAAACTCTACTTTTGGATTCCTGCCCCTTCAACATTTTCTGGGGAAGAATCTGAAGCCTCTCTCTTGGCTTGCAGATTCAACTTGAAGCAAGCAGCCCCAAAGATGTAGACTAGGAGTCCCCAACCCCCAGGCCAAAGACTTATACTGGCCCGCAGCCTGTTAGGAACTGGGTCACACAGATGGAGATGAACAGCGGGCAAGCGAATGAAACTGAAACCATCCCCCCTCCCCTGGGTCCATGGAAAGATTATCTTCTATGACAGAGGTCCCCAACCTTTTGGGCACCAGGGACCGGTTCCATGGGGAGAGGTTTTTCTGTGGACCAAAGAGTGCGTGGTTTTGTGTGCTGCCTGCATCCCGCAAATGGGGCTGTTTGTTTGTGTGGACCGATTGCTGGCATGCCATGGCCCAGTACTAGTCCACGGCTCAGGGGTTGGGGACCCCTTCCATGAAACAGTTCTCTGATGCCAAAAAGATTGGGGAACGCTGATGTAGAATACCCAAGTCATAAAGAGCATTACAGCTGAAAAACAGCATCTTAAATTGGAGCTAGAAACCCACTGATAGCCGATGTAGTTCATGCAAGTTGAATGTTATTCTACTATAGCAGATTTTACTGGTATTTTGATCAGCAACTGCATCCTCCATCAGTTGTAGTTTCAAACTAACTTTAAGGCAGCCAGATATGCAACAAATTGAAGTAATTCAAATGAGAGGTGATAAAAGTTTGAGCTATCCTTGCTCAGATTCTGGTTCAAGAAGGTTTCAACTATACTAAAGCTGTGAAAAAAAAATTCTTGGTCGTAATTTCTGTTTCCTATTTCAGTAGAAGCTGCAAATTCAGGAGGACCCCAAAACCACTTATCTGCCCAACTTAACATATATGTCCTGACAAATATCTGCTTATAGAGCAGGACATCTGATCATCATCAAGTGCTTCCAGAGGATTACTGCCTTCCTCATCTCTTGCTCTGGCTAATGCATCAGTAATACATAATAGATCTAAATTATGTTTTCTACTGGCTATTTATTTTAGAAGAGTCACAAACAAAAATAAATGAAGGTTGCAAATAAAGCAAACAGGACAGCAAAATAAAGGGCATTTGTCTCGCCAACACTCAATTTCCCCATTCCTAGGAATGTTTTGAAAATGTATTTTCTCTATATAGTATCTTTTAATGGTTTTGTCAAACCTGCTCGTTTTCGGTTGCCACAGCAATGGAAGGAGGATGTGTTCTCTTAGTTTAGCCATAACAAATACTTCCTTGTGGGAACCAAGGTCAAGCTACCTAAGTTTTGGCGGGCTCAAGTTTCCATTAGAAAGCCACCAAAGTAGATAATTAGGGATTGTGATTTATGATATATTATAGGGGGTGGAAAATTCAACTTGTTATTTTGTAGCCTTGGGGGGAGGGAGCCTTCAGTCTTGGTTTCACCTTTTACTGTGCCGACACTATGTAGCCATTAAAAGTATTCTTTGAGGAATGCAATTGCCTCAGAGTTATTATTTTCTTCTGGTCTCATCTATTGGAACCATGACCAGTTTTATATTAACATAAAACACAAACTCAATTTTATGAACAATAAACCAAAAGCTGCATTACAAAATGCTATGTTTGAAAGATATTCAGAAACTTCACATAAAAAAACCCCAAACTAACAGAAACTTTTGTAAGGAAAAAAAACAACAAGTATAATGAGTGAACTTACTTGCCATAGGATCTGCTCCAGGAGACAGCACAAAGATTAAAGGGATTGAAGAATTTGAATCTAAGTAACTTTTTGTTAGATCAAAAGGAGGTGGCTCAACAAATTTCTTTCCAAGTTTATCAGTCACAAAGGTTGTTATAGCCGGTGTAATCTGTTTTCAAATTAAATGGTGAGCATAATAGAGGATTTGCTGTAAATTATACAGTTTTTATTTCAAGGCAGCTTAACTGGTAAATATTTAATAATTTAAAATATGTAATAATTCAAACAAATCTAAATACTGTGGCAAATTTTTGCAATGATCCAAAAGCTTACATGTTGGCAGGTTTTTTTTTCCTACATATTTTAGGAATGTATTTGAAACTGTTAGTTTTATAAGCAGTAATACTATTTTCTTTCTTTCTTATTTTAAAATGAAATGTGATTTGAACAGTCTTGAATTAAAAAGTTAAATAACTAAAACCAGAAGATTTTCTTTCAATATATAGTGCATGTAATGTTGGAAGGAAACAGGTGTGCTAGTACATTTGCTTAACGCTTCAATCTTTAGAAAGAAAATGTATAGTTGATTTCACATTTGCTTACCTGTGATGCATGACAATCTAATATTTTTGTAATTAACTTTTATCATTGGGTATAATAAGGAAATTGAGTTTCTCTTTGAATTCAACTTTAAAATGATTCTTTGACTTCTTTGACTCTGCCAATTAATGGGATCCCTTTTTGGGCAGCTATCAGTATCAAAACTAAATCTGATTTTGAATAGTCTTTAACAACATTGGAGCAATTCAATTCTGAAGAAATTCTGCTAAAACCTTTTGCAGAATTTGAAAATCAGTCAAAAAAGATGGCTTCTTGGTAGCTTAATCAGCTAAAGCATTTTCTTATTCAGTGCATTTGTTGAAATGCTATTGGTGCTTCTGAGATTTTACATTGGCTAGAGGATTATTTTTTGCATTTTGTATTTGTATTGTTAGCTGTTTTGAATGCTTACATTTAGAAAATGCAAGATAGACATAAAATAAATGGAATTATATTTAGGAACGCAAACGACAGCTACTTAATTAACTGCCAATAGAAATTATGTTACATAAATCATCTTTACCTTGTCAGGTCTCAAGCATCGGAGAATAATCATTTTCTTTATTTCGTTTAAGTCTGTATTCCATGGTGTGGGTAAAGGAACAGTCTGTGGTTCTTTACTATCATAAATACTACGCCATTCATTGGTTTGTGAAGTCACGTGATTCCTACAACAATAAAATAAACTTGAAAGATTTAGATTGCAATTTTATATAAGAATAAAAACTCTTCTAGATGTTCTTCTAGAGTAAGAGTGGGGAGGCCCAGTTCATTTGGCAAGTAATGGCATAATATCGTCTAAGTTTATTTTGAGAATAGTATAATTTAAAATCTCTTTGCCACCATGCTTCCAAATGATTGAGTTCTTCCATTAGTACTTTATTTTCTTATTGGGTTTTTTCCTGGTAGAGTAGTGTCATTGGCATTGGAGAGGGGTTATTATATTCTGTTTTTCGCTTTCTGCTGAGTGGACCAATTATTTATAAAAAACTGTATTTAATAATAACATTCTGTATCATATGTAAGTTAGTTATATTTCAGGAGCTCCTGAAATGGATTTGAGGCCTTCATGTGGCATGCAAGGCCATAGATTGTCCACCTTTTTTTGTGAAGAAATACCACATTGCTACATTGGGAGCATGGAAGTAAAGAGTAAACTGTACACTGTCTGGAAAAGAAGAGGCAGAAAAATTTGAGAAATTGGAGAGAGGCAGATGAGAAAATTAAAAAGTAAAAAATGATATAATAAGATTAAAGAGAAGTCCTCAAGTGGTTTCTGGGAAAACTGACATTTTGTGAAGGCCTCAAATCCATTTTACATTTTTTTCAGCAAAGACATTGAATAACAATTGTTTCATTGAAATCTCAGAAACAAATCTGGGTGAGATACAAAGCAAAGCTACACTCTTTGCATGTTAATTTGCACAAAACACACCATAACTTCTATATTATAAAATGCTTATCCCTCCCCCAAAAACAATTATAAAAGAGTTGCTATTGTACCGTAATCCTTTAAAAGCAGACATATCACTTGCACGACATATTTCGTCCCAACTTTTATCTTGTAACCAAGATGGATCAGGGTTCTTGAATTTGCTCTTGAGACCAACCCCTCCAGTTAATAAAAACATAAACTCCTGATGTTCAATTTCTTTCCTAGCCCTGTTTTAAAAAACAACCAAGTACAATTTAAGAAACACACTATTATTTTAGCTTAAAATGCAATTGAGGCTTTAAAACAAACTTTTTGTATATATCTATGTATATATTATCTAGAAATTACTAAGTATGCCAGAATTCACTACCCATAATTGTCTAATCTTCACTATAGGTAGTTCTCAACTTACAACCGTTCATTTATGACCAATCAAAATTACAACAGCACTGAAAAAAATGACTTATGACTGTTTTTCACACATAACTGTTGTAGTATCTATCCCCATGGCCACATGGTCAAAATTTGGATGCTTGGCAGTTGGTTCATATTTATGAAGGTCACACTGTCCCAGGGTCACGTGATCACCCTTTGCAACCTTCTGACAAGCAAAGTCAATGGGGTAGCCAGATTTACTTAACAACTGTTACTAATTTAACAACTGCAGTGATTCACTTAACAACTGTGGTAAGAAAGGTCGTAAAATGGGGCAAATTCACTTAACAATGTTTCACTTAGCAACAGAAATTTTGGGCTCAATTGTGGTTGTAAGTTGGGGACTACTTGTATCATTAATTCCCAGGTGGTTTCAATGACTGCCAAAGTGCTAATGACTGGATAACTGAAAAGAGTATAAATCCTTCCTTTCCCACCAGTTAATTAGAACTGAAGACGCTTCTTGGAGAAGGAAAAGGTCTTCAAGAAAAATCAAGAAAGTCCAGTTGCCGTTCAAAAAAAAAAACACCTTTGGGACAACCATGATCTGGATGACTGAGAACCCCACAGACATTTTACCATTATCTTAAGTGATTAGAGATCCTTTATTGATGAAGACTTCATGGAAAACACATCCAAATACCATGCTGGAGTCCTCTATGTGACAAGACTGACTTGTGCAAGAACTGCATGGCATATTCATGTCAATGTGTTTGCAGGCTTTGAGTGTGATTCTGCAATAGCAATAGTGGGCTGGAAAACCCAAGAATCACAGCAAAGATTCTTATGAGAAAAACTAACGAGGCAACACTGAAAATCTACATGAGCTATAGAAGGTAGAAGAAAGTAGAGCAAACAAAAAATATTTGGATAAATGATATATTTCATAAAATATTTAATGGGATTGAATTACTAAACCCCAGCTCAATTGAATCCCAATTCAATTTATTCTGGTATGCAGAGGCATTTTAACACCTTCTTTGCATCCATGATTTGCAAGTGCAAACATGCTACTACTAGAAATACAACATTTCCTAATATTTAAGATGCTACGAGATAAATAATCAACATTCTCTTAATATATTAAAAATTCTAGAGCCTCTTACATCAGAAGATTACAGCAGAGTAAAAATGAAAACAGCAACTTATCCTTCTCAAACAGGGAGCGACAAACATTGCAATACAAGTTGTATGTGAAATGGTCGTTTAGATATCGTAGCCTTTTTTCCAAAATTTTAGACTTGTTGCTATTAAAAATAGAAACACATATTTAGAAAGTGCATACCCAATAAATAAAAAGATACATATTCATATATTGATTTAACTGGAACATATTGCAGTATCAACAATATGTACACCTGACTAGGCTTATGTAATTACAAAATAAAAGAAAAATAGAAAAAGAGGGAGAAAAAAATTCTTGATTTGTTAAGAACTTCTGGGGCTATTAAATATTTATCTACAACTTGAAATGATTTTTAATTAATATTTTATATTGCCCATTTCCCCTATAAAGCAAATCTGGGTGGCTTACAGATTATAAATGTTTACATACAAACAAAGAGAAAAACCACCATTTTCAGAAAAAAATGTACCACTTAAAACTATAAATAAGTTTAAAACAGGCATATTTTGAAAAACTAAATACTCGAACACAATTACCGCTCACCTGTCATGAATAGAGTTGATATAAAGGTTTACAAACCAACTGAGAGAATATTGGTACATTGGGTCTATATTAGCCAGATCAGCAATACTAAAAAACAATACAGATGAATGCTTTGCAATGGGTCTGTAGCCTTCGCGAGACTGTGCTATTTTAATTTCAGTTTTTTCTGCAATCTAAAGAAAATACATTTCTTAGTTATTGACATAAATTCTAAGCATCGAACAAAGCCTTTTCTTACCACAGTGTTTCTTGCATTATACCATCACAATCACCAGTGCCCTGTTGCTCACCTCCATATCTCCTACGCACATGCGACAGTGAGCACACATGTGCACACAGACAGAAACACACAGACACACACACAGAGAGAGTTTGGCCACCAAGAAAAAGAAAACAGGCTTGAAAGTTTGCTTCTGTTGTCATCATTTCTTTGACCCTTCCCACTTTCTTCCCACCAGAGCAATATTCCTGGCTACTATGCAGACTCCTTGGAGGCCAGCAAAGTCATATTTTCTTGCATCTATTCTTTGTCTGCCATGAGATAGCAAGAGGCTAATTATCATATGTGAACTATAGAAAGTCTTGGGAATATTTACTGGTCATCTGATTTTGCAACCCATATATTATAATCCTATGGGAAAGGACAGAGAAATAGAGTAGATTAAGATAAACAAAATATAAATTGGCCAGCTGGTACAAGTGATCAAAGTGCATTTTTTTAAAAAAAATATGCCATAATTTTAGATGACTGGCTGGCTTAATTGCACACAGAATGCTACTGTTATTACAGCATTGCTATGCACCACTAGGGGTGTGTTTGGCTTTGGGATCAACACATTAATCATTATTTATAGCTATTATTGCGAAATCTGAAGTTGCTTACCTGCTGTTTCTTTGTAATTTCATTAGACATTATTTTTGCCGAGTCCAAGATAGTAATTGCACTTTCATCTTCTAAAATATTACCTTCAGAAGACTGCAGTGTTTCTAAAATTTTATTTTCTATATCTTTTAGTTGTTTCTTATTGGCAGCTGACTGAAGGATAAGAGCATTTCGTTCTTCCTCTAATTCTGGCCTAAAATGACAAATACCCTTTTTTGTTAGTGGGTTGTTTTGTTTTTTAGATTCTTTTGTTCTTTTTATGTCAAGTTTGTTGGCCACAATTATGTTTAAATATTTCTTTTAAANTTGGATTAAATGATTCTATAAAACTATTAGTAGACTCGTGCATGTTCTTTCATATGCTATTTAGTTCAATCAAGCTATCAAAGTTAGGACAGGCTCCGTACTGGCATACAGGCAATTGCAAGGGACATATTATCATAGCTTCAATACACTGTAGTCTGCTGCTTCCAATCACCTTAGTATTCCAAATACAGAACATTGATAAAGATTTCTTCTATTACCTCATACTTATTATTGTACAAGAAGAATGCACACTTCAGCTCACAAGTTAATACCCATGTCTCTTATTTTTTAATTAAAAAAATTAAATTTGGTCTCTCTGAAAAGTCTGTACCTATTATTTAATTACCTATGCATGTGCATATGTTCATGGATATACTTATATGTATGCATGCATGTTCAATAATTCTTTCCTGAATTAGAATGAAATTGAATTTTATTTATGAATTAAATCTCCTGAGGAAAGCTCAAACACTTACCTTTCCTTGGCAACAACAATGCCTAAAAGTTGATCTTCTAGTCCTTCTGGAGTAATCATAAAATTTAGCAAAGAAACCTTTGTTGCTAATTCAGGTAAATAATGTGGATTCCTTAATTTGGTGGTAATATAAAATTTGAAATCAAAAGAATATTCAATTATTGTTTCACCAAGTCGAATGCAATCCATGCCCCCTAGTGTTAAAGGAAAAAAAAGCATTTGTTTTCTACACCAACAGCCTTTAACTGGCAGCAAGTTTAGCAGTTTAATAATGTAAAATAAATTACACATATGATAGTTAAAGAGATTATAACTGTATTCGGATATCACGTTCAATGATAGTTTGGGATACCCTTGGATTCATGTAGCACTGGTTCCATTTCTCTACTGCACAACTAGTCTTAAAATAGCATTTTAAAATAAAACAAAAGAAAATAAAAGAATAGTATTGAAGTCCCAAGGTTGCTAATAGAGACATCCATGAAGACCCCAAATGTAGATAGATCTGTGCTTGCTCAAGTCAGCAAAATGTTACAAACTGAAAGTTAATAAGAAATTCATGTTGTGTTTTTTTTCTTGTCCCCCTTGATTTTATTTCTTAGGTCTGCAAATCCCAAACTGTGGGCCATGGGTCCTAGTGCATCACAGTGCATAGTGTGGGAACTGCTAGAAGCCCTGTGAATCAGGAAAATTTGGGAACCTCTACATTAGGTTTATTATTTGCAACACTCACTCTGATAAGCCTTTGTTTTTGCATTTTGGTCAAGTATGTCATCTTCTGCTTCTGTGATAATCTTGTACCTCATGACACTCCCTCTTCCATTCAGTTAATCCCTGGCACATCTTTGCCTTGTCTTATCTCCATCCAAATAAAATAAACCTTTGTACTTATTTAGATTTGTCTTGCTAACACTATTGGTCCCTTCCTGCCTTCTACTCACACCATGGGAATATCTGCATTGAAGATATTGCAACACACTGCAACACATGCCTTCTGGTAGCCGCGGTGGCCTTTAAGAACTGGACCAGCGGCCCCGACGGCCCTCCCAAATGGCCCCTGGGCAAGCCATTCTAGCCTCGGTGGCCTTCGGGCGGCTCTTTTGGCGGTCCCGGTGGCCCCTGATGGCCCTCCCAGTGGCCTTTGGAGGTTCGGGAGGACTTAAGACTTAAGGCTCAAGAACTATTCCC